TTTTTTTTTTTTTTTTTTTTTTAAACGGGCCAGGACGCTCCTGGGGGTGATATGAACATCCCTCACGAGCACCTCGGCAGTGGCTCCAGTCTATTGGTGGCGAACCGCACCTGCTGGGAACTGGATCCAGCGTCCCAAAATACGACAATCACATCTCCATCACAGTTGGATCAAGGCGAGGCCTCTTCATCCCAAAGGGACACTCGACATATCTTGAAGACCTAGCCTCCAAAGAGTCTACCAGAAACCCTACGAAGAAATAAGAGTGAATTAATGGTTACTGATGCTACTTAACTTTTTGTACAAAGTTCTCCAAATCATTGAAGGTCAACCAGGGAAAGGTTGTGCGGAGAAAAGAAGTCAGGAAAACTGATGGGGAAGGCAGGGGAACAGAGGTGGTAATCTTGGTCCATTCGTTCGTGAAAGATCAGCGTGTAGTCGTGCCGTCGATGGCCTCCGGAGCCCCCCCGCCAACCGCTCCATTGCACCTCTGCAATCCATCCCCCTTGACAATGTTTCCCCCCCAGCAAGTTCATGCAGAAAGTTCTTATCTTGTCTTTCGGGCCAGATCCCACTGGCAAGCACGACTGGACTGAGTGTCCGAATCTGGACATGCTCCACGCAGAGATGGCAGAAAAACCGATCAATCACAGTTTCCTGTACCTCGCCACAAACACGTCCAGATTCAGACACTTATTCCAATCCTCTTTGCCAGTGGGATCAGGCCCTTAGTCTCTGCCCGAGTTAGCACGTTGTTCAATTTGGCGTCAATCTTGGAGCACAGCAAAGCCATTCTGCCTCTGAAGGTAACCATGCTCCGCCCGCCTAACAGTGTACTAGCTTACCGGTCTTGGACTCGCACCCTTATGTGTTTCCAGTTGGACATCCATAATGTGCACAATAGGCCATAAACAGAACTTTTTGCAGAATGACAAGAAGCAACCGGCTAAAGGCACAACCTCTTGGCTGCGAATACAAACCGGGGGAAGCAGAAAAGAAGCATGGCCTGTCCAATGTGCGGAACATGCGGGGCTCGGGAATTTAGGTCAAGACGGGCAAACACGAATGTCCCACCAGAGGCGCGAACAGAACAAAACTGACTGTGAGCGGCTCATGCGGCAGGATTCAAACTTCTCACCTCGACATAGACGAATAGCCCTGCACGAATCAGGAAGCAAAAGAGAAAATAAATCTCTTCGTGTATTTGTTTTCATTTCCGCCCTCGAATTCAACCACATCTTTTCTTTTCACTGGTAACCATAAGCAGAGGAAGAGTCAGTTGTTCTGAAGGTTAGTGATCCGTGAAGGAATAGCAAAGAGATATGTTGGAAGCATGGCTACGATTAGGTTGCTTGTACCGGCCGTCTTCATGCCTGTTTTCCTATTTGCTTTTGGGGAGGATAGAGAGCAGTATGCGACAACGGAGGCGGCCAGGTAGGAAGGGGAGAGAGAGAGAGAGAGAGAGAGAGAGAGAGAGAGAGAGAGAGAGAGAGAGAGAGAGAGAGAGAGAGAGAGAGAGAGAATAAAAAGAGGGAAGGGCTGTGTACATACTACATATTGCTGTGACTGTGTCTAGTGTTGCCTTGGATGAGAGAAGACAGATAGGCAGGATTTAGATAACGCTGTTGGCTGTCCGTATTCAATGTCCACATTTCTGTATGCGCGTTTATGTTGCTTCCGATGTTCTTGCAGTCTGGGCATTCCTGATCTGCATCAGTTGCATCTGGCCTGGTCTCGGCCAGGGCCATAGGCTGTGGCAGGCCTGCACCCGTTTCATTTATTAATGCCTTACAGGACTACAATCGTTTTGAGCCTCTTTCTTCATATGGTGGATATGTTATCGTTTTGAGCATCTTGCTTCCTATGGTGGGTATATTTGTGTGATTGTACACGTGGCAGGTGTTAGGGGGCACAGTGATTCGTGCATGTCTGTGTTACGAACTTTCATGGTTCTTTGGATGCATTATCAGTGGATCCATCTACGCGCAGATGTACTCCGTATAGGCGTCATGGCATGTTCGTTCCTTTCCCCTCTTGTGTTTTTTTGTCATGTACGACTGGAACAAGATCCGAGATTGGGTGCGTGAATGAGATTGGCAAGTCCCAAATGCTCAATGATGTGGTTGATTGGGGAATTTTCCTTAGTAAAGATGCCAAGGGCTTCGGCTTCTCAACTTCCTGTGCAGATCCCAGAGGCAAATGGTGTGACTCACAAGTTTGGCTGCGAGAGGTTTCATATGGTGCAGCAAGGGAGACTTGTGCTTAGTGCTGCAGGCATCTGGCAGATGCAGGGGGTGTCGTCGCACTGTTGCTCACCACGTCACCGTTGTCAATGGGTTGTGGTACACGTCGACTGCACCATCATTGTAGAGGGTGGAATGGCCCAGCTGTGCTCCATTGGTTGCTTATGAGCTTGCTGTGTGGCAGCCATTTTTCAGTCCTGTTTCTTCCCTGCAGTGGGTATCCTTGCAGACCAGCGCACGACACTTCGTGCCAGGCCTACGCGGTGTATGATGTGAGGCCGGGTGACAGGGTGCAGGATATCAGTAAGCTCTTCGATGATGACTACCGAGATGTGGCATCGGTGAACAAGTTGGATCTGGGTAATTTGACTTTACTCCCCGATCAGCAACTGTACATCCCACTCACGTGCCATTGCGACGAAAGGAACGCTGTCTTCTACGCGACTGTCAATCATGTCATAGCATTCGATGGCGAAACAATTGAGAGTATTGCATCCGTTCTTTTTCAAAACTTGTCACATGCACAAGAGATTGTGAATGCCAGCGGCCTGACGCATGGTGTAGCCGTGCAGCCCGGGCAGACCGTAAGTGTGCCCATTCGTTGTGGATGCAATTCGACAGCGCTCTTATCAGTCAGGACACCATCTTTTTTGACCTACGTTGTCGGAAATGACACTGATGTCCGAAGCATTGCGCAGACATTCAGAAGCAGTGAAAGACTTATCCTTGAAGCCAATGCAGGGGCTCAGGCAGACCTACCGCTTGACCCTGGTACCCGGCTGGTTATCCCCGCATACTTGTCATTTCCTACTAGATCTGATGAGGGGTCGAGAGCCCGAGCACGCAGTTCGGGGGGAGATCCATCACTATCCATCGCCACAGAGCCACCGGCCTACCCTAGAAATGGAGTGCGGGGAGGTGCATCCGGAGCGGAAGATACAACGAGCACCCAAGCGAACGGCACCACAAACACGGCATCGGTTCCGATGGACACACCTGGCAAGGGGAAAACAGGTCATGATCCAGCCATTCCTTTTGAGCTAATCATTGGTATCCTTGCAGGGACAACGGTCGTGCTCATGTTGGCAATCATATGTGCCATGATATACATAGCACGAAGAGTAGCCAAGGGAACAAGTGTGCGCACTGCTGCTGCCGATTGGGAGAGGAGAGAATGGGCAGAATGGAGCACAGAATCTGCAGCGAGATGGCAGCTAAGCGTCATTGGATCAAGAGCTCTTCCGGTGACAAGGGCATCTGCAACACTGCCAGTCCCGCAACTGATGAACACCTTCCGGAGGAGGGACATTATCCACACATCAATCAGCAACACTTCCTCACTGGAGGGGTTTTCTTCTCACGGAGGAAACTGCGCCAAGTTCATTCCCGGGGTCGATAATGGGAGTGGTGGTAATGTGGGACGAACTGTCGAAGCCAGTGCCAGTCCGCACAAGTCCGCAGCCGCTATGGTGTCTCCATCGTTGAGTGTGTTCACTTACAAAGACCTGATGAAGGCCACAGATCACTTCAGCGAGCTCAAGAAGATTGCGGAAGGAAGTTATGGGTCCACGTACCGTGGCCTTCTCGAAGGACGAGATGTCACAGTGAAAAAGTTGAAGAAGTCCAAAGCCGAACAGTTCCAGTCGGAGATGGAGGTGATGAGCCGAGTTCATCACTGCCATGTCCTGGCGCTTGTGGGTTATTGCGTGGATCGTTGCCTGATGCTCGTGCACGAGTTTGCAGAAAAGGGGTCCCTCAACAGGCACCTTCATTCTCCTTCCAGGAATGGTTTCCTGCCTCTGGCGTGGAGTGTAAGGGTGCAGATTGCTGTTGACATTTCCTCCGCCCTGGAGTACCTTCACGAGCGCAGCTGGCCTGGTTTTATCCATCACAGCATAAGTTCCAGAAATATTTTTCTCGACAAGAACATGCGCGCAAAAACTGCAAACTTTGGACTGAGCAAGCGGATTGACTGGAAGGATGATTCCACCCTTAGCTTAGCCGTCAACACAGCCGAACTACCAGACGTTGTTGGCTACATGGCACCAGAATGCCTGAAGCTTGGCCAAGTGTCCACAAAAGCCGATGTGTACTCCTTTGGCGTTGTTCTTCTTGAGCTTCTAAGCGGGCAGGAGGCTGTCAGTTGTGCGGCAGGCAGCCACATCGTACAGCTCTCTGGAGGGCTGCACTGTGAGAGTTGGGCCCTCGATTACAATGGATCCAGCTCAACTGTGGTTGCTGAAACATCAGGGTCTTTTGCGGAATCGGATTTCGGTTCAACCCCCCCAGATTCGTCCTCAGAACTCAGGGCAAAGAGGCCTGTCATACAGAAACGTGTACTGGATGTAGAAATAAGACCCTACAAAACTGCAAAGACGAGATTGAATCGGATGGGGAAACGACAAGGAGAGGGGACGAAGCAACACCCCCCTGGCAATGAAGGCTGTGAAAATAGTAATCGCTATTTGGAAAACACAACAAACTCTGGCGGGAAGAAGGAAGACGCCTGTGGCAAGATCCTATCAGTTAACGGAAGCAAGCTTCGCCTTCGAGGGCTCACTGTGGAGGTCTTAGCCGACCTCTCTGGACCTTCGTCTTGCAAGCCTGTGCTCAGCTCCTCTGTGGAAAACTCTGCCAGCGCCATCCCCACGCAAGAAGAACCCGCCAATTCAACAACAGGAAGCATGATTGCTGTGAGCGTGCCGAGCTCAGACCCATTGCCTCCTTGCCCACACAGTGTGCAGGCATCAGCGAATGATGGATGTGCAGTGCCCACGAAGGGAAAGGCGAAGTCGGTGGCGGCCTTTTCAAAACACGGCAAAGAGGTCAAGATTGGGATAGGAAAGCCAAGAAAAGCAGATATCGCTGCAGGCAGCAATAAGAAACCAGTTCATGCCCTCGCGATGACAAGCAGTCACAGAAAGGGGCCCCGATCGCGCAAGGTTGCAGGGAAGAAATATGAGAACAAAAGGAGAGGTGATGGGGTGAAGCTGCTGGGCGCAGCCACCGAGGGTACTAGTCCTATCTTGCGAAACTCGGCAGTTCAGCGCATGCTAAGGTGTTCCCTTGTCAGCTGGATTGTGCCAGCAATCCGGTCTCTTGGATCACCTGCTGACGTCGTGTGCTTGGTCGATCCAGACATGAGGGGCCAATACCCTCCGGAAGTGGTTGCCAAGATGGCTGATCTTGCGGTGCGTTGCGTTCAGGAGAATCCCCAGGCGCGGCCAAATATGTCACGTGTGGCATATGAGTTGGATGAGATTTTGCTATTGACGAGGCGCTGGGAGGCGCTACAGTGCAAGGCCCAGCCGGAGAACCACAGCCGCGTCGTCGTAAGGCTTCAAGGGTCACGTGAATCAGAGAAAAGCGAGGTCTCGGGCATGGGCCAGCAGAATGTGGTTCTCTGGGCCTCTACTGTGGGCCCAGATGTTTCTACAGACGGCGAAGGTAGCATATCCCGTCCGCAGCTCCAGAGATGAGTGTATAGTCTGTATAGAGTTAACAGGACTGCTCATTGTTAGGGCTGACCTAGAAACCTGATGACATTAGCGCATTTTGGATGATGCTGTTTCTACTGACCAGTCAATCTTATCAACATGTCCGTGCTGTGGTCGTTCACGCGAAGAACGGACCACCACTCCTAACTTGATACCTGGCTGCAGTGAGGAAGTACTCTTGCGGGCCCCCATGTACATAAATATGCTAGGTGATATCGATCGGCACAGTATTTATTTACCAGCTGTGGCCTCAGGTGGGCAGGGATGTGAAATGCAATCCAGTCGCTTCATAACTGCAAGGGAACAGAAGCAGTGCTTCTCAAGGATCCAGCCGAGCATCGAACCGTTGTTCTTGCACCTCTCTAATTCCTCGAGCGTATCATGTGGCTGCTGCTCTTCTCCCCTCTCCTCTCTTCTCGTCTCCTCTCGTCTCCTCTCGTCTCCTCTCGTCTCTTCTCTCTCTTCTATCTCTTTTCTCTCTTCTCTCTCTTCTCTTCTCATGAACGAACGGCTCTGAATTTCTTTTGTGATGTATAGAGTCATATCATGGATCAACTCTGTCTGCAGCAACAGAGGATCCAGATCATGATAAGAAGAGGAGCTGGGCAGGCATAGGAGATACCAAAAACAAAAAGAAAGAGAGATAGAGAAAAGGTAAAAGCAAGAAGAAAGGAGGGGAAGAGGGCCTAACGGAGGTCATTGGTGAAGCGTCCCAGTTCAACGAAGAGTATAGCCGCAAGTAGAGGAAGCACGGGCAACGTCTGGCGCTGTAGATCCCAATGCTTGATCCCTGTGCTTGTCGGTATCATGTGCTTGTTGTCGTCATCCCTGTCGCTTGGTTCTTGTTGTTTTTGTCGATATTTGTCGATATTTGTCGTTTCACTGATACTAGGCAGAGGTTAGTTGGAAGGTAGGCTAAGTTAGTTAGGTTTTTTTTTTTTTTTTTTTTTTTT